AGAGCAACCGAGCTCGAAGGAAGCTTCCGTCGAGCGTCGCGAAGCTCAAAGGGTGGCCAATGGGCGCGTCGCAGGCAGTAGGGCTAGACGCACGGGAATCCGCAGCGGTCGCTGGGGATCATGTGTTGGTGAGTGATGGGAGACGGGCAATGTGTCGGCGCGGCGAACCAAGGTTCAAGTTCGGCAGGTGCGGGTGGGGCCAAGACTCGCCGGGAAGGCGCGTTCGGTGGCTACGGACGGGGATGGCGACACCACTCAGGCAGACGAGCTCAATAACTACGGAAGATTCTGAACGTCGCGGAAAATGCCAGAACAGGTGGTACAAGCACGGGCAGATATTGGTAGAGCTGCGCGCAATGTTCTGACGGCGCTGGCTGATCGATATACTGCTCGTGGACTAGGACGCGGTTAGGTTTGAGCTTCAGGTGACGGCGCGAAAACAGGCCATGTGAGGGCTGCACTGCGAACAGCCGCTGTAAGGGTGACTCGCAGCAGGCAGGGCCGAGCAGGGCAAGACAGGGCAGGGCAGGACAGATGGAGCGAGCGAACGGTTGGGGGAACGAACCTTGGGCGGTGCAGGCTGTCTAACCAGCGACGGGAGCAGGAGCCCTTGGTGCAAGATATGTATGGGCGGCTGTACGGGCTGTATGGGCGTATGTGTGGGCGATTGGCGCGGCGCTGCGTGGTGCGGGAGCAAAGACCACTGGGTGCTGCTGCAACTGGGAAGTCGGGTTATGGTGAATTACGAAATGGGAGCGAAGCCCAATTTGATATGCCCTGCAACCCCAGCAGCTGACGGCCCGCGCGGCGGACGTCGACAGTCTTCGTCTAGTGAGCAAATGGCACGCACTGACAATGGCGACAAGCTTCAGGCATTAGAGGCGCTGCAGTGTGATAAAAAGTGGCTCTCCCGCGGCCCTGCACGAGCCGGTGGCTTTTCACTACCTCGAGAGCGCAGAGCGCACGGAGCCGAACAGCATTACTTGCATCATGCTGCGAGATAGCGACCGCTAGCTTGGATCTTGCTGTCGATATTCCGTCTCCACTCCAAGCCAAGCACCCGAGCGCGCCGGGCCTTGTTCTCTGATGCTCGATGCTTTCTGCGCGAACGCGAGGCCTGGGTCAGACGCGCTGCCTATCCTGTAGTCTCCACCACTCACAAGTCCGCCTGCTGCTGATTGAGCAGCTCCCGACAAGGCGACCGTGTCAGCAGGCTGCTATCGAATCATTGATTTTAGACCCGTGGGCCTGCAGCCTGCCCAAGACAGACTACGCTGCCGCCTGCATTGGCGGCCGCAGTCGTCATGCATTCGACCTTCTCACTCTATCAATCAACCCGTATCGTCTGACTCCTCAGCGCCCGTAGCCAATTCCCCCCAGCCCGCTCATGCTTGCCGCAACAGCCGAATAAGGAAGCCCAACTTTATTGCGCTGCATCCGTCAAAAGCAGTAGTCCTCATCTTGGACGCGCTTCTGCTGCCTGCTCTGCTCGTATTCCCGCTACTCCGTCAAGACGTCTAAAAATGATGCGCTGATCGCCGACCTTTGCTTGTCCTGTGCAATTCGTTTTCCTCTAGCATTTCCTAGGCCCAGTTGAGGCTCGTCCTCTCGTAGCGCCGTCGGTCTTCGCGGGCCTATGGGCAGTGCTGCAGCTGAAAGCTCCAAGCGCATCCATAGCATCGGAATCGCTTCCTACTCTCTTTTCTGGCCCAAGCATCCAGTTGCAACGCTTGGACGCTTCGATATTCATTCTTCGTTCCGTGTGGACAGCAGATTCATCGCAGAGTTGGCGATCTGTTCCACCAAGCGACCCGTTCCCCGCCGAACCAACAAGGGCAGAAGTGTCAATGACCCTTGGCCTGCCCGTGCTGTAACCGATCCCCACCATGCTACCTTGCCCGTATCTCACATCCCTTCCGCAGCTCGCGCCACTGCCTTAGCGGGAGTCGAAACGCCATGTCCGTTCGTCTTTCCTATCCTAAGCGCTGTCTAACTCACTTTGTCCGTGCGCCGTGTTGTTGGCATGCTCTTGAAACTACGCGAGTTCAAGACGTAATCTATCTGGACGGACCACAGACTGTGTCCATCTGTAGGCCTGGATGTCGGCATCCGCTTCGGCATCTTGGAGCATGCAACCTTTCGCGTCTCTTTCCTGACGCGTTTGAGGAGGCTGTGCCACATTATTTCATGTCTTAGACCCTGAGGCCCCAGTTTGTCATCTGCCTCTCTCTGCAGGGTCTAAGCCAATTGAGAAGTGTTTGCCATTCTTTGTTTGCTAAAGCCCTTCTTGCGTCCGAACTCGGTACTGTCCAGTGGGGTATGAAGAGACAACACGGACGATGAGTCTTTTGAATAGAGTGATGTGAACAGAGTGTAATCGCTTGTATCCGCACCCTTCGTAAACCGGGATTACCACACAAGTGGGACGTGTCGTCCTTGTTCTATGATCCGACACTTGCTACATATGTCGTGAGTGTCAACGCGAGAACGGCTCCAAGTCCTCTACCTACTCTACCCCTCGTTAGCATCGTACCGACCTTTGACGTCCACCGTCATATTAACAAACCCGCTCACCGCTGTCATGACATCTGCAGTACGCTAACTACAAGGATCGTTGAAACATTCCAACGCGAATTCAAGTATTAGACCTAGTCGATACCTTGGCGGGGCACTACGGGCAGGCTAGGATAGCTGCTTGATCATATGACAGCTGTATCCACTGTCTTGGATCCCAGCGTCGGGAGACGTCAGACGCCAAAGTCGTCCCACGTTCAATTTAGATTGAAGATCGCGGCGTACGGCGGTTGTATCCGTACCATGATATCGAGGCCATTTAATGTCGAGGTCTCGTTTCAGAAATCCGAGGAAACGGAATGGGTAGGACCACCCACTGGTGAGTGCTTGTTCTTGCAGCCAACTACGGATGTCCCGCAGGCTAGCACTGTACATGGCTTCTGTTTGGCTTCCTGTATGAAAGCCACATGCAGCGGGTTGTACAACTTCAGCGGTGAAGCACATCTCTTCTCCATCGGCTTTTGGAACACCGAAGTAAAAACAAAGGTTGCTGCATTACCACGTACACACACAGATCCGTCATGCAGAACTGTAATCAGACGTCCAATAATAGGATATGTGATCGTCCACAGCGAGCTCACTATTCATGCTCAGGTTTCGCCAGCAATGGCCGGTTGACTTGCAAAATAGCCATTTCATGACTTTGAAATCAGGAAGATGATAGGCGCTAGTGGCTTCGGCATACCCCCGAGATTCGCTAGCAAGTAGCTACGCTACCCACACCCTAAAGACGAACCCCAACCCCTCTGGATCTTCAATCCTGCCGGGCGATGTAGTTCCATCCATGTTGTAGCATTGAGCTAGGCAAACTGCGTTCGAACGGTGAGGCGGTCCACTCTAGAGTGGGGAAGCGTGGCGAGGCTGCATCAACGTTCGAGGCAGTTGCGGCCAATCATCAGACCAGATCCAGTATTCGTTCGACGAAGAGACGGTCAGGTGCTACCAGTTACGCCGACGGCTTGAAAAGACCAGGGCCGTTATCGTATTTATCCATCCATGGGCATCAGATGATACTGAAAACAACCCGAAGATGAGTTGATGTAGAATGTGATCTCTGTTGAGCTTGCTAAATGCACGCCTACCGCCTTAAGTTAGATAGATATTCAGTGCCGCATTTGAATCGGTGGGACCTAAGGAAGACCCGCGTATGCATTTGACCATACATGAGGAGAATGAGACTCGTGGAATTGCTGTCTCCACTCACAGTGTTGGGTATGCTGGGGCAAATGTGAGTGAGAAATGCGGTGAACAGAGTTCCACACATCCATCTAGCTAGAATTTCTGTTATGCTGTTGGGTGCCATACACCCTTGATGCCAGCTACATCTGCCTTGCGAACAGCGTTCAGGGGACCCTCGTACGATGCGTTTGAAGATGGAGTCCACTCAACACAGCTTAGCCTAGTCTGGCAGCTTGGATTGTTCAGTAATGCATTGTACAAAGGGTCTTGTACTGAATTAGAGCCATCCAAAGAAGTTCATGACGCGGTATCCTCGGCAGCAGAAGCCCTTAGGCTTCGATGCCTGCTTGGCGACCTTCCATAATCGGCTTCAACAAGCGTGGCTAGAAGCAAAGAGCTGCAGCATTCAAGGGAGCTCTCCAGTAGCTTTCCTCGAAAACACTATCATGCTCCATCGAAACATGCCTTGATTGAATGAAACCAAAGAGAGGCGAAAACACCAACACCTGCACGCTACTGCAACATTCAACTGCAACAACCTAGAAGTCTATGCTTCTTGGCCTGCGTGATAAACCCGTCGCTGAAGCAGTGTAATAGAGTACCGCAAGGGTTAGTTGTCCGCAGACGGCAAGCAGATCAAGGTTTTAGCTGAGGAGACAATTTGAAATTGAAGTAGTGGCGGACTAACGGAGATATGTGGTCGTTCGAGTGCAGAAGCGAGAAAGACGGTGAGGAGGTAACGCTGGTGAATCAGATGCTGTTGAAGACGTCCGGTTCGGACGTCGAGTAAGGAAGGCGCACAGACGCAAGGCGAGATCGCTCTTGCCATGTGAGCATCGATGATTGAGCAGGCGCACCCCGTACATCCTGAGCCCGGCGAAAGTTCAACTCACATCGATTTTTATTTGGAGCAAGTCACGAGTGCTAGTAGCAAGTCACCGTGCGGAAACTTGGCACAGAATTCTCGTGTCCAGCGCATCGCGATGTGGTTGCATAGCTGGACGCGCAACTTTTGAAAGAATACTTTTAAGACTGAAACCTTTCTTGAGACCGGGCTATAAGTAGCAAGAGCTTTTTTGGTCAAGTTAGATTTGCATCATCCAATATTTTGTATCGGGACTACCTACACCGACATGAGCTCCTAAACATAGTCGTGATGTTCCCGAATGAATGCGCCGTTACGCCTAGGAAGTTGATTTGCATGAGGCAATGAAAGTACTGAAGACGACCGACCTTTAAGAAAGCCACTACCTCCCAGGGGCGAGACCTGGCACTGCGCTGAAGCGCTCGTCACGCTCAGTCTTGAAGAGGATCTGACACCAGAATTCCTTGGCATCCTCGTCGAACCAGAACCAGAACTTGCCCTCCCTTCTGTCGATATCGCGCGACTGTAGCTTGACCGCGACTGTCTCATAGGGCTCTCCAGCAACAATCAAGTACTGGTAGTTTGGGTCCGGCTCTTCCACCTTCTGTTCGTAGGCGCTCATGACGCGGACCTTGGGTGTGATGCCGGGTGTGAGGTCCGGGAACTGGAACTGGAAAAGCAACCCATTCTGGCGTGTGTTCGGATCGCGTACTTTGGTGATACGGTAACCAGGGCGGCCAATCTTGATAATGTTCTTCTTGGGCAGCACACCAGCTAGGAGTCCTTGCTGGCCTACGTCGTCCCTCTTGCCTTCTCTCTGTTCTTTCGCCGCACGACGTGCCAAATTTGTCTGGTGCTTCCTTCCTTGCGTATGCGCGAGATATGAGCCATCGTTCTGGTGGACAGTCAAACAGAGACGACATTCAAAGCTTCCGACGTGGTTCTTGAAGAAGTACGGGTCCTTGTCGAGGTCGATGGTCTCAAGCGCGAGCTTTCGGAGACGCTCTCGTCGGTCGGCATTGGTTGCTGACTGTGATGCGACGCCGCCGCCTCCGAATTTGGAGCCTGCGCGATTCTGTAGAAGTTAGTAGCTGTTCTTAAATGTCGCGACGAGAAACGTACCTGGTAATCCATCTTGGAGAACCTGTACGATCTACTATGTCAATCTTTCTCGCGATCAGACTGAGGTGAATATGACTTTTACGTAGGCTATGGTGAAGTGTGGAGCCGCGTAGACGTAGGCGTGTTGGAGTGATGTCGCGCGACAGAACTTCTGGAGGCGTGCGACGCTAGTGCTACGATACCTAATCCCTGTCACCTCCATAATCACGTGCGCAGCTGCCTTAACACATTCACCATACAACGCTCACCCTCGCATTAGGAAGCCGGTTCCACGCTCTTCTGGGAGATTCTGACACTAATACTGGTGAAGTAAACTCAAGAAATCTGCTCACCGGCTATACTAGCCAAAGGAGAAGGAAAATTACTACGACTTAGCCAATCATGGCAACCGATATCTACATAGGAAAGCGCCTCTGCTTCGACGCCCGCCTCTGTACCATCCGCTACTATGGCACTGTCGAAGGGACTAAAGGCGAATGGCTTGGCGTAGAATGGGACGAACCAACTCGAGGAAAACACTCCGGCGAACATAATGGCACACGATACTTCACATGCTTGAACCCGTCACCAACATCCGCATCCTTCATTCGTCCCACCCGCAAACCAGATCCACCACGCACCTTTGTTCAAGCACTAAAGTCAAAATATGCGTCTGAAGCAGTTACGGAGGATTTCCAAGATCCAGATGTACATGTGGTTTTCAATCATCAACCTCCACAGCTGAAACCTGTGCACTTTAATGGTAAACCAGCTGAGGAGATTGGGTTCGACAAAATCCGGAGACAGTTGGCTCAGCTCTCGGAGTTGAAGATTATCATCCTGGATGGGTTATGCATGTATCGACCCGAAGCACGTCAAGATGAATGGTTAAGAGGAAGAGAGAAGAATGATGTGAGGGAAGCATGTCCGAAGGCTATTGAGCTTGATCTGAGTAGAAATCTTTTTGAAGAATGGAGAGAAATAGCTGCAATCTGTGAGCAACTACTTGGGTTGAGAAGCTTGAGGGTCGAGTAAGTCATCCACACACACACACGGTCCCTTCCTATATATACTGATAACCGCGTAGTGGTATACGACTCCGCGACACTTCCCTATCTGGAGAAGAGCGAGAACGCTGTCTTCAGGCCTTCAAAGGCATCACCTCCCTCAAACTAGAAGATAATCTCCTTCCCTGGGCAGATCTCGCCCTCCTGACCCATCTCTTCCCAGCTGTCACCACATTTTCCGCCTCTAGCAACCTCTATACAGGCCTCACTCAGCATGCCCTCAACCCCACTATCACCGATCTGACACTTGAAGACAACCACATCACCTGTCTATCATCGCTAGCATGTCTGGTAACGCTGCCCAATCTGCGTCGCCTAATACTCAAATCGAACAAAATCTCCGAGATAACTAGCTCAGACGCGTCAATGTCCATCTTCTCAAGTACGGTACGAGAAGTCGATCTCTCGTTCAATGAAATTTCAACATGGGCTTTCATCGAGCAACTGGTGTACGTCTTTCCTGGTCTCCAAAGCCTACGTGTGTCGCAAAACCCATTATATCAGTCTTTGCAAGCGCCAGATGGAAGGAGCTTGACGGCAGATGATGGGTATATGCTTACACTAGCGCGACTGGGACAGCTCAAGACGCTAAACCACAGTCCCATCCACGAGAAAGAGCGGCTGAATGCAGAGTCGTATTATCTGTCCATGATCGCCAAGGAGGTGCAGTTTGCACCTGAGAACCAGCGAGAGCAGATACTGAAAAGCCATCCGCGGTACAAATGGTTGTGTGAAGAGTATGGCGAGCCAGATGTGCAGCGCTCTGCTAATTCTGTGAACCCAAACTCGCTTGCTGCCCGGTTGCTCCGCATCAAGTTCTACCTCGCGGCAGCTACGGATACAACTTTCGAGACGGAAATACCCATGAGTAGTACTGCGTACACGGTGCTTGGTATTGTTGGGAAACATTTCAAGATCAAGCCCATGGCGTGCAAATTGACATGGGAGACCGGCGATTGGATGTCGGTACGGAAATCACCGAAGGACATTGTAGATGACGACTGGGACTCGGAGGACAGCGAGGCGGAGATGGGTATGGAGCGTGTCATGAGGGAGGTGGAGATTGTGCCCGGCACGAGGTCGATTGGAACATGGGTTGATGGCTCGGAGGCTACCGTGAGGGTGGAAATTAAGTCGTGACGGCTCAATATCCTCAAACACTCTATCAGATTCTCAAAGAGTGCGATTTTGATAAGCTTCGTTCAGCGGAACCACCAGTTGACCTAGAAAACGATTAACCGACACATTCAGAAAAGGTCTTATACTGCACTTACCGAAGCATTTGCGCCCCTTCCAATCCCCCTAACAGCATGCCACCATCCATGAGGAATGTAGAGCGCATCTCCACTCCTCAGAGTTGTTTCTACGCCGGTTGCGTCAGCCATTTTTACCTCGGGGTCGTCATTCCACACTGCATCCTCTAAGCCCTCCAGTTCTCTTCCTTGCATCATCTCCTCTCCCCTCATGTTCGCGTCTCCACCAGCCCCATGTACTTTCTGTCTTACAATCTCATACACACCCCTGCCTACCTCAGGCTTCATAAGTCTAATCGTCTTCTTTCCTGCCAGTTGTACGAAGATATTTGGATTCGGGTCGCGGTGTAGCGGCGTGCGCGTAGGCGGTCTACCCATCCAGAGACTTGACGCATAGATATCGCCACGGGCCTTGAGGTGCGATAGGAAGAGCGAAGGCGTGGGGAGGTCTTCTTGCAGCGGCGCTGGGAGATCGGCAAGCGAGTGTTGCGCAAGGTACAAATTGGTGTCTTGCGTCTCAGCAGCACTCATATGCTGTAATAGGAGGGATAGCGGTGCTTCGAAGCGCTCGAAAGTTTGGTTTTGAGTGCTGCCGCTGGTGGAAACACGGGTTAATTCCAACGGCACAATTGCATTGCCATACTGCTCGAGATATGCTGTATTCAGCTCTTGAGGATATCTGAACGTTTTGTGGAGTGCATCAAGTTTGCGCTGTTTGCGTTGTTCGTGTTGTTCTAGATGTTGTTCACCTGCGAGCACCTCTGGCGGCTCACGGAGTTTCTGGAACCATTTTCCAACTGCGGGTATATCCAGGAAAGCTTTTTTGAAGACGGCGGGATAGTCGCGTTTGAAATTGGTTATGCTGAGCTGCTTCTTCTTGTCCAAGTATTGTTCGTTTTGTAAGACTCGAAAACGCGTATTGCGTACCGGCCGTAAATCACGCCTGCGAATCCAGTGGCGAGGAAGAAGAGGGCCCGGCTTCGGCATAGAGGACTGAAATATGGTGAGGTATGATAGGTTACGTGGATGCGACTTGCCCAGAAGCTTGACACGCTCTCACGTTACCGTACCCCACACGAGCAGCTCGCCGCCCCGCCAAAACCTTCCCATCCTAAAGTTTACATCGTCACAAACACCCAGAAACTCGACACCCATCAGCCCACGCGTCACTAAGATGGCACAAGCTCAAGGCGCACAGCCTGGCCAAAGTAAATAGCAGCCAAACGCCAATCCATCGCGCATCGTGCTAATTCCACCTCGCAGTCGAGATTACATCCCTCCCTGTCCCCCGCCTCCAAGAACTAAAAACCCAACTCGATGCCGAGCTCACCCATCTCTCGAATTCGTTCCAATCGCTACGCACCGCGCAGTCCAAGTTCCGCGACTGCCTGACCTCCATTTCAACCGGTCTCACACCAGCGACCGTTTCGAAACCGCTTCTCGTCCCCTTGACATCCTCGTTATACGTACCGGGGAAACTCACGGACCATGAACACGTGCTGGTAGATGTAGGCACAGGCTTCTTTGTAGAGAAAGATATTGCTAGTGCAAAGGACTTCTATGAGCGCAAGGTCAAGGATCTGGGTGACAGCTTGAAGGATTTGGAGGGTGTTGTACAGGGCAAAGCGCAGAATGTTAGAGTCGTCGAGGAGGTTATTAGACTCAAGGTCATGAACGCACAGGAAGGCAAGGGCGAGGAGCAAGGCAGCTGAAGTATTAAAAAAGAACATTGAAGTATTAGCTTGTGGAAGGACTGCCATTGTTGCTGGTCAAGCTGCGTTGACACGAGCAGGAGCAAAGCTGGAGGATCAGACACGTCTTCGAAAGTGGAGAACGAAATAGCAAGGGCCGGGAATGAAGTCAGATATCATGCTGTTGACATGGTTGTACATGAGACTTGACTCCTAGACCCACCGCCCTTTCAGATCGCCTCGGATATCTCTGGGCTATTGAATATTAAGAGGACATGCAGACATACTGTATGCGTATTCCGTGTGCAGATCCATCGCTTCCCTGTTGTTTGAATAGAGACACCCCCCATGTCGCCTCTCGCTCCAAAATATGGTAAACGAGCCGCGACACCTACGTCAACCCCAGTCGCACGACACAACCACTCGCGACAGCAATATAACCTCCAACCTAAATCTAGCGCGTACCGCGAAAGACCACCCACGTCATTGCAGGCACCTAGCTCGAGCTCCTTCCCACCATCGCCGCGGAAGTCTCGGTGACTGAGCTGACGATAGCTGAGAGCTGAAGCAGCTTGTCCATAAGGATGCGGATACCGTCGCGTGGTGGTGATGCTTCGACACCAGAACCCAGATTGAGGTCCCTTATTCCGAAGTCTTCATCCTTCGATAACGTTTCCGTCATCCAAGAACCTGATCAATACATCGTTAGTTATAAAACAGAAATCTGACGCGAAAAGTCACCCTAAAGGTAATCAAATGAATTCTGTACTTACGCTCGGCGGTACTAGAACAATCTGAATGTCCGTCGTCTGGTAAGAAGGCAGCGACGGTATTACCCCAGTCAGCCTCGCGACCGATAGGCAGTCGCTCGAGCTCTGCGAGATGAGTTGCCCATTCTAGATGACGAACAGAGAGACCCCAGACGCGTAGCTTCTGTCCGGGGTACCACATGCCGGTGACCTCAACTTTGTAGCATGTTTGCTTAATGCCGAAAGAGTAGATAGTATCTAAACGACCAGTGC